GCTGTGTGTGTGTTTCTGAGGGAGAGAGGGACAGGAGCTGTGTGTGTTTCTGAGGGAGAGGGACTGTGTTTCTGTGTGTGTGTAATTTGGAGACTCTCTCCCCCTCTCTCTCTATCTGAGTTGCAGCTCTCTCTGCCTTTCCTCATTGGGAGAGCAGTGAAAGGTGAGACCTGGAGACGGGTGCCCAATCAGCTGCTTGGGATCTGTTTAAAGGCGACCGAGTAGCCGAGAGGAGGAAGGGTGGGGGGGCGCTGGGTGGGAATGAAGGGATCAGCCTAGCCTATCCTGCACACGGGGTTAGATGTGAAGCCAGCGCTGAGGAGTAGCACGCATTGCCAGCCTGCACCCAGACCCCAGTTCGATTCCAGCTTTCACCCCCCCACCTACCCCAGGCTACCGGAGTGTGTCTGAAAACACTATAGAACGGAGCCTTGTCTTTCAGTGAGGGAGTTACTGTATCCGCCAGGATTTCTTCGGAGTGTCAGGTGAGAGAATCTGAAACGCAACAGGTTCCATAGAGAGACAAAAGTACATTATATTTGCAGCCTTCGAAAAAAAACAATGCAGCAGGTTTTAGAGAGGTATTCGGAATATTTGGAGAGCTCTTTGAGGGGAGAGGTCATGATTGAGGATGTCAAAAGCAATGCGAGGTTAATGATTCTCATTTTAACCCCCTTCCTTCCTGCTGCATTTTGTCAGTTTCAGTCTATTTGTAACAAGGAGAAACTGCGTTGTGTTGCCTGGGTCTCTGTCATTGCAAAATTGAGCAAGTTCTTTTCTTTTTAAAGAAAGAATCTGACTTTATTTTGCACTGCACCGTGAAAAATGCAGCACTTTTGCATTCAGCTGTTTATAATCCTGCGTTTTTATTTAACCCCCTCAGTCTTGCCAAGAAACTTTCGATTCCGCGCTGCAAGCGAGGGGAAGCGTTGCTGTTTGAGCGAGAGAGAATGCCTGTTCTGACTTCCCCAGAAATCGCCACGAAATTCAAGGAGAACTGGATGATGCTGCATCCGGAGGATCAAGACAATGTGAACGGTGCTGTGAACCTGGATGATAGTCTGACCAGCCTCCAGTGGCTGCAGGATTTCTCGATCCTCAGTGCCAACCTGGAGAAGCCTCCTGGTGCCCAGCATCACTGCAAGCAGCAGCACACGCCTGGCTCAGACTCCCCTGCTTCACCTCCAGCTGGTGATACCGCTGCCAGTGGTGTGCCAGCTGGCCTGGGCAAGACCACCTCGGCGGTGGCTGGCACCAAGACCTTGATCCAGGCTCAGCCTCCTTCCCAGAGCCCAGCGGAGGATGTTGACTACAAGACAAACCCCCATGTCAAACCGCCCTACTCCTACGCCACGCTTATCTGCATGGCCATGCAAGCCAGCAAGAAGAGTAAAATCACCCTGTCTGCCATTTATAACTGGATCACCGACAACTTCTGCTACTATAAGCACGCTGACCCCAGCTGGCAGGTAGGTGGTCAAGCGAACACACTCTTGCAACTTCAGACTCTCCACTGTTGGATTCTTGTTCTTATTGACTTGTACTTAGAGACGCAGGAAACAGAACCTTTGGCCCAACTCATCCAATCTGACCAGTTTTTCCAACTAAATAGTCCCATTTAGCCCATATCCCTATTAACCTTTCCTACTCATGTACCTGTCCAAATATCTTTCAAATGTGTTATTGTAGGAGCCTCCACTGCTTCCTCTGGCAACTCGTTCCATATGCGCACCACCCTCTGCGTGAAAAGGTTACTCCTCAGGTGCCTTTTAAATCTTTCCCCTCTCACCTTAAACCTATGCCCCCTAATTTGGGGCTCCCCTACCCTAGGGGAAGGTCCTTGACTACTCACCTTATCTATGCCCCTCATGATTTTGTAAACATCGATAAGGTCACCTCTCAACCTCCGACACTCCAGTGAAAAATGTCCCAGCCTCTCCTTATAACTCAAACCCTCCAGTCTCAGTAACATCCTGGTAAATCTTTTCTGCACCCCTGCATGTTTGAGCAGTAATTGGCATATCATCAGTATTATCTTTAAAATGCCATCTCCTCTATCTGTATCTTTTTAAGCTGAATTACGGTGGGGCGGAGGAATGGTGGAATCAGTGGGAAGTGCAGTCTGAGTTTCAGTCTGGGGTTTCAGCCTCTCCTTAAGGTTAGCTGAGGTCCTCCCAAAGCCAGGAGAGAGCCAAACCGCGTCTCTGCAGCCCTGCTGCTGCTGATGCTATCCTCTCACTGCACAGAAAACAGCTCGGCTGTATTCTTTAAACTTGCTGGCCTGGGAATACTGCACAGACTGTGCTATGCAAGCCAGTCTGCCAGTTTATGGAGCAAGATTCTTACTTGGGTACGTCTTAGCTCCCTAGCCCAGTATACATTAGCTTGTTCAGTACAGTCAGCGGGATTCGGTTTAGAAAAAAAAGACTGTGACGCATTGCTTCATACAGCAAAGAATTGAAGGCAAGATATTTGCTTTCTTGCAGGCAAGCCACCAAATGTGACACATCGATATGTTACTCCATGTGTGTTTTTGTGTTTGGAATTGTTTTTGCACTTTTTTTGACTAATGATAGAATGTGAAATTAGGATAGTTGGCAACCTTTCTCCAAGAAAAGGCAGTAGGGGGAGCAAGATTTCAGCGTGGTGTCTTCCTATTTGTCAAATGCTGACTTAACCAATTGGTCAGCAAGACAGGGACTGTATCACCCTTCATTCCTACTTTGGTGATGGGAGTGTGAAAATTTATCTTTTGGGATCTGACCAGTACCAGAGAAGGCGCAGTCGTCTTCCTTAAACAGAACTGATTAGGAAACCAGTTATCCAGAGTCCTGTAAGATTCTTACTCCCCAGATTGATAGAGTACTTTAGACAGTCAGCAATAAACTCAATGAAGAATTCAACAGAAAGCTCTTTATCCCGAGACTGGTTGGAATATGCGAGTCACTACCATGATGAATAGTTGACGTAAGGAGCTTGGATGCATTCTGAGGGAAAACCAAGCTAAACACACAGGGAAAATGAAATAGCAGCAGTGAATAATACAGTGCAGATGGAGACCATTCAGCACAGCAGAGCTGTGCCAATCCCTGGTTACATCTATCCAGTCAGACTAGATTTCAGACCTTTTTTCATCATAGTTATACAATATTTTCTTTTTTCCAGGTTTAACCCAGTTCCTTCTTGCTGGTTATTATTCAATTTGCTTCCATCAGGCTTTCAGGCAGTGCATTCCAGATCAGAACTCTTTCTGTTTTTCTTCCCCAGGTTGTCCTCTCTCTTCTCTTATACAGTTAGTTTTGATTTGTATCCTTTGGTTCCTGATCGTTATGCAACAGGGAATAATTTCTCCACATTCACTCTGTTAGGACCCTTTGTGACTTTGAACCCCTCAATTAAACCTCCCTTTCACCTCCTCAGCTCTGAGGAGAACGATTGCTGTTGATTTTTGACTCTCTATGTGACTGAGTAATGGAGTCACTCTAGCAGAGGGCCCATCAAGTCAATGCCAACTCTCTGTTGAGTTACCCAGTCAACTTTGAGTTGATTTCCCACAAGTACCCATTCAATTTACCATTGAAATCGTTCATTGTCTCTGCATCCACCTCCCTGGCAAGCAGGAAGTTATTTCTCACAACCCTTAGTGTATTTTACCCAAAACATTAATCCTGTGCCCCCTAGTCCTGTTGCCAACTGCTAACAGATAACTGAAGTCCTACATTCCTGGTGCCACTCTAGAAAGTCACTATCTCCAAGACTTTGACTTTGCAGAATTGGCCCCAGTGCCCTAGTGAAGCCTAGCCAGTATCTTATGAAGATTTAGTATAATCTTCCTGCTTTTGTTCTCTATATCTCTATCATATCCAGCATGTGTTTTCAACATGACCGGCTACCTTCAAATATTTATCTATGTACATCCCCAAATCACTCTGTCTTGCGTTCCCTTTAAAATTATATCATTTGGTTTCCATTGTCTCTCCAAAATCTTCAAGAAAATGCGTCACTTCACACTTTGTTCTGCTATATTTCATTTGCCACCCCCTCTGCACATTTCACCAGGCTGATGTCTGATACTGTACACTCCATTGTTTACCACACCTTCAAGTTTCCAGTCATTTGCAAACTTTAAAACGAAGCTCTGAATATCCAAGTTCACTCAGATCATGAACATGCCTCAAAAAGCGGTTCCTAAATTGACCCTTAGAGAATACCACTGCACACATCTGTCCAGTCTGAAGATGACCATTCACAGCTCTGGTTGCTGATTAGCCAGGTTTGTACCTTGCTGTATTTGCCCTTTCTGTTTGAATGACTGCAAACGCTACATCACCTGCTTTATCCTCACCAACCAACCACCCATTCTCTCATCGAAGAACTCCATTAAATTAGAGAATAGAAGGTTATGACGATAGGGTTAAGGGAGGTAAGGTAGGAGGAGGCTTGGATAGAGTATAAACTCTGGCGTAGAGCAACTGGGCTGGTATGTATTCTTATTAATTCTGCAGAATTCCTGATTCTCCTGTTCCTCTGTTTTTCACCTTTTCTCTTGGCTTAGCATAAAAGTTGCCATAACAGGTTACTTATACAGTGACACAGTGGTTAGCACTGCTGCCTCACAGCACCAGGGACCTGGGTTCAATTCTAGCCTTGGATGACTCTCTGCATGGAGTTTGCATATTCTCCCCGTGTCTGTGTGTGTTTCCTCAGGGTGCTCTGGTTCCTCCCACCATTGAAAGATGTGCAGGTTAGGTGGATTGGCCATGGGATATGCAGAGTTAGATAGATAGGGTAGGGTACTCTTTGGAGAATCAGTGTGGACTGAATGACCTGTTCTCACACTGTAAGGGTTCTGTAGTTCACACAAGAAGTGTCAATGTTCATTAGCTTTTGCTTTGTCCATTTTGACAGAAAAGTTAAAATGAATTCTCTTCCATATTAAATTGCTGATGTTTTTAATTTGCTTGTGAGTTGTCAAAACAAGTTATAACAGGAAGACAAACCTAGGGTATTGATTGTGGCATTCTCTCTGCACTGTGCACAACATCATAATTAATTTGCATAGAATAAAAATTATATATAAGATCTATATTACCAAAATCAGCTCAGCTTCAGGCAGCTAACAACAAATGTAGATAGCAATGAAATTAGTCATACTTGCAAGTACAACCTCCTTATGATTCATTACTTACATCTTAATTATATTGTTTTCCACCCTTCCAGTTACACAGTAGTAATAGAGCTTGCGATATGTGAAGTGATATTGAGGAGAGTATACCTTTCGTATTGTAGCAACCTACTTGGTCCTTGAGTATAGGTACTTTCTCCTATAATTGTTCCCCAATCAAAGGCTAGAGGCCTCAGGTTAGGAAACAACAAGAGACCTTTCTTTCCTGAAAGATATCCATTTCCCTGTACTCCCAATTCTAAATGTTGTACCTTCCTTGTTTATCAGGATTGACGTTAACAATCAAATCTCATTGACATTTGGATGAAGAGTGTGAAGAAGCTTCATTCTTTAATGGACGATATAGAAAGATGGCATTTTATAAAGGACCACTTGGTTTTCAATGGTTGTCCAAATCAGGAACTCTCAGTTGTACAACTGCTGAGAATGAATTGAAAATCGAACATTGCAATGTAACTTTTAGATCAAATTAATTAAAAACCGAATGAAGTATTTGCCTTGATTCTTGCTAAGCAAGGGAAATATTGCAATTTAAGCAGATTTGATCCAGAGATAGTAGGAACTGCAGATGCTGGAGAACCTGAGATAACAAGGTGTAGAGCTGGATGAACACAGCAGGCCAAGCAGCATCAGAAGAGCAGGAAGGCTGACGTTTCGGGCCTAGACCCTTCTTCAGAAATGAAACACACACTGAAATGAAATTTCTGAAGAAGGGTCTAGGCCCGAAATGTCAGCCTTCCTGCTCCTCTGATGCTGCTTGGCCTGCTGGATTTGATCCAGATTTTATTTTACAGGCAGTAATTGCACCTATCCTTGATTGAGAGGCTCCTATTACTAAGGGATAGTTGCTAAGAAATCATGTTGGAGTTTCTTGTTTGATCTCTTGTGTTTTGACAGAACTTTTATTGAATTTGATTCACGTCTAGCAGTAGTTCATGCGTCAGTGCTCAAACATTGTGCCTCATTGTCTGCATAAGGAAAGTAAGCATCTGGAAATTTTATAGCATTCAGAAGATAACAGGATTCAGTTCTGCTTCCCCCATAACATTTGTTAAATATTTCTAGAGTAATCTTTCAATAATCTGAAGCTCTGCTTGCTGTTTTAATATTTCTGATCATTTCTGTTTGTGCAATCTGAATTCGAAAGCTTGGCAGCCATCCTGCTGGACGGTAATTTAACAGTCTGAAACAGCATGGGTAAGCAGCATCATCACTGTCATGCATATGTATCTAGAGCTGGACTTATTCTAGTTGTGATTTTGCGTTTAAACTTACTGTACTGTA